TTACTGGTAATAATCTTTTACAAAAATGTAATGCTGGTATTAAAACCTATTTTTACACTTTCATGTTTGGCTGTCAACTATTTGCCTATAGCTGGGGTCCTAACAGGTGGACCTGGGGACACCAGCAATTAAGAAATGCTCCTCAAAACCTCCTGATCAGAGGACTTGCTGTCGGATGTAATTTATCATCTTACTAAGGACGCGGATGTAGTTTATCTTCTTACCCGGGAATCGGGTGTAGTTTATCGTCTTACCCGGGACACGGATGTAGTTTATCGTCTTACCTGGGAAGCAGATGTAGTTTATCGTCTTATCCAGGAAGCGGATGTATTTTATCGTCTTACCCGGGACACAGATGTGGTTTATCGTCTTACCTGGGAAGCGGTTGTAGTTTATCGTTTTACCCGGGACACGGATGTAGTTTATCGTCTTACCCAGGAAGCGGATGTAGTTTATCGTCTTACCCGGGACACGGATGTAGTTTATCGTCTTACCCGGGACACGGATGTAGTTTATCGTCTTACCCCCGACACGGATGTAGTTTATAATCTTACCTGGGAAGCGGATGTAGTTTATCGTCTTACCCGGGACACTGATGTAGTTTATCGTCTTATCCAGGAAGCGGATGTAGTTTATCGTCTTACCCGGGACACAGATGTAGTTTATCGTATTACCTGGGAAGCGGTTGTAGTTTATCGTCTTACCCGGGACACGGATGTAGTTTATCGTCTTACCCAGGAAGCGGATGTAGTTTATCATCTTACCCGGGAAGCGGATGTAGTTTATCATCTTACCCGGGAAGCGGATGTATTTTATCGTCTTACCCCCGACACGGGTGTAGTTTATCGTCTTATCCGGGAAGCGGATGAAGTTTATCGTCTTACCTGGGAAGCGAATGAAGTTTATCGTCTTACCCGGTACACGGATGTAGTCTATCGCCTCACCCAGGAAGCGGATGTAGTTTATCGTCTTACCTGGGACACGGATGTAGTTTATCGTCTTACCCGGGACACGGATGTAGTTTATCGTCTTACCCCCGACACGGATGTAGTTTATCATCTTACCCGGGATGCGGATGTATTTTATCGTCTTACTCTGGAAATGGATGTAGCTTATCGTCATGCCCAGGACGGTCTGTTGATGTCGTCAAGGTTAAAACTGCCAGTGCCACAAAGCCCCAGCAGGAACAGGCTCAGAACTTAGCGTTAACCATTGATCGATAACTTCCGTTACATTTTTAAAACGAATTGACGGTTGAGAAAGTTAACTATTTGATTAACGGTGCCCAGCTGTGATGATTCTCAAAGTCAACTTAAAAGTCAAATCGCCAACGAAAATGTCAACTTCGTTAATCAACGATTAACAAATTAACGGTTTGGTGCCAAGCTCTATATTTCACCCATAGATGATAGTAGGAGGGGTGGATTTATGTGGTAATTGACATACAGGGTATTTCCTGTCTCTTCCACACTCGCGTGTCTCGGTCAACAAGGTAGAGGGTGTGATGCATTGTCGCTGGATGAGCCCATATTTAGTCAGTCAATCAGCGCGTGTGAGAATTCAATGAGTATTACAGGGGTGCACTAGAGTTATAGAAATAACAAAGTGGGGTATGGCCCCAAATCGGTTGGGAGAATCTGGTCTATACGCTAGCACCCCGGCTGTGAGTTTAAGCAAATAGCCAGAGTTGGGTACCAAAACGTTTATTCGTTAATCGATTTAATCAACAACATTAACATTTTCGCCAACGATTAAACCCCCAAGCCAATTTTGAACGTCATCATGGCATCTCAAAAACTTGAATCTACTGATGTCGTCAAAATTAAAACTTCCAGTCTCACTAGACCAAGAACGAACATGCTCGGAGCTTAGCGTTAACGGCTTATCGATAACTTCCGTTACATTTCTATAGAGCTAACTGATCAATGGTCAACGAAGTTAATTTTTTGCTTAACGAATTGATGCTTTACGAAGTTAAAGTTTTGATTAACGGTACCCACCTGTGACGATTCTCAAAGTCAACTTAAAAGCCAAATTGCCAACGAAAATGACAACTTCGTTAATCAACGGTTTAGTGTCTAGGTCTGTCTTTCCAAAGGGTATTTACGCATAAGTGTATGTGACGTAACCGACTGGAATTCGAACTCGCCACTCCGATTTCACATTCCGTTTCGCTATCCATTACACCTAAAACGCTCTACTCCGGCATGTGTCCACCGTTTCATGGTCATATCGATATAATCAAGCGTTTTGATTATTTTTCTCTCTTCTAATATTGACGATAAAGAGACAAACTGAATTACTGAAGCGTTGGAATAGATAGATGAAAAAGGACTTTCTCATTGTGAAAGACCTTAATTGGTTTTTCATAAGGTGGGAAAGCGTTTTATTGGAATTTGAACATAAATCGAGTATTTTTGATGGTCCAATTTCTGATGGTCACCTGCAGTGATTATTTCATCCATTTTCAATGTCAGCCATTAAATATGCCACATAATGTAACACGGTAACGTATTTATCGTCACATATTAGAATAGACGGCAGTCGTTTCTTCTTTTTTAATATTTTCTTCTGTTCAGCTATCGTCCAGAAATTAATGGTTCGCAATAACACGCTCGGGAATTTATTTGAAATGTATAAAAACGAAAATAATGATGTCTTAAGAGAAAAAAAACAAAAACAAAAAAAAAAAAACCAAATAAAGATAAAAAAAACAAACGTATAAGATCCAAAAAGAAAATAACATTTCCAGCGATTATTAAAATAATTTATTGCAGGAATAAGATTTTAGTATTGATATAAATTAATCTCCTGTGAGATCTAGTATTTCAACTGTCATGGCCGCAAGGAACGTTTCTTGCTCGATTGAATTTTTTTTTTCTTTTTCGTTTTTCACAATTAAAGAAGCATCAGCAATTGTAATATTTTATGTAGACATTTGTACTTGCAACCCTAAAATTTTCATAAAATCTTGCAATTCTTTTAAGCACTTGGTTTCTAAAACTATTCAGAAGCATAACGCAAGATTTGACACGCTCGGGACAGAGGAAAATAACGCAAAACCCCCACCTAACGAGCTTGTGCAGAAGAGGGAGACAGCAAAAAAGAACAAAAAATTAAACAAACCTACAAAGTATAGGAAATTGTGGAAAGCTATGATCACCAACGTCCTTAGGAAGAAGAAGAAGGAGGAGGAGGAGCAGGAAGAGCAGGAGCAGAAGGAGGGGAGGAGCAGGAAGAGCAGGAGTAGAAGGAGGGGAGGAAGAAGAAGAAGAAGGAGAAGGAGCAGTAAGAGGTGAAGAAAAATAAGCAGGAAGAGAAGGAGGAGGAAGAATAGAGGAAGAAGGCGGAGGGGAAGAGTAGGAGGGGAGAAAGATGAGGAGGAGAATAAGAGGAGTAGCGGGAGGAAGAGAAGACGAAGAAAAAGAAAGAAGGAAGGGAAGGATGAGGAGAAGAAGAATCAGGAGGAGGTGATGGAGAAGAAGATGATGAAGAAGAAGGCGGATGAGGAAGACCAGAATAATAATAATAATAATAATAATAATAATAATAATATCCTACCAAGCTAGGATGCTGAAACTAACATATTATCGCTTTGTAACTATTTTTTTTTTCATAGAGGCTGATAATTAAAAGTTAAAATCCGCTAACCCTACCATTAACCAGCAAGGTAGATTAGACAAAAATAGTTAAAAAATTAAAAAAAAAATTACGCAGCAATGGGTTAATTTAGCTATTATTATTTTTGAACAAATAATAAAAAATTTCAGAAAGAGAAAGCGAGTAAATTAGTTTTAAAAAAGGCGTGAAACGTTCAATTTTTACCGGAATCCAGTGGGTGGCCCAAAACTTTTTCTTATAGTGTATACAATTGATGATTAAATATGGAAAAAAAAAACAGAAAAAAGTATATGAATATAACATATATCGCTATTATTTTATCTTTACCATCTTTCGAAAAACAAAAATCTAATGGAGTAAAAATAAAAGCGAAACCTGTCAAATTTATGAACGTTTTCCAAATTGATCATTATTTAATCATTCTGTCCGATTTAATCCATATTTTTCAATTCAAAAGATGATTGTAAAATAATCGGTCTTTTGTACCGCTCCACAGAGTACCTGATTCCTCCTGCCTTGCTATAAGAGGCAGATCAGGTCCAAAATGGGAAACTGATGTAATATCTGGGCTCAAGTCACCTAATCGTTATTTTCCAGCCTTGATAGAGTTCAAAAGCCTCCAGTTCTTTAAATATGTCGTAACACGTGATCAAAAATCGGTTACATACGATGATGTTCAAAGCAAAAGTCGAACAAAGTCAAAATGGCAGATGTGTTGAATCAATTGCTAGGTCTGCTATAAGGAAAGTTGGTTCCCTTCTAGAAAATCTTTCTCGCCAGAGTCCGCCTTGACATTTCTAAATCTACCATTCGTCCTTTTATACGTTTATAAATTTGGCATATCTTGCAGTTATTTTAGCTTCATTAGAAATATTTTAGGGAAAAAACAAAAAAACTGATGAACCTAAAATAAAAGGTTCATATAAATACGGGGCTGAAAAGTTTGTTTATAGGCTGACTATGAAGGAGTGATGCTACATTTGTGAAATATTGCGTGCAATAATTTCAACTATTCTTAGTAATAACTGAATTGTTTATTTCCAGGTAAACTGACATCTGACTGTTCAAAGAAATCTTTAAAGTAACTAGTAGCCAATTCTGTTGAATAATAACATAATAAGATATATATAAATATATATATATATATATATATATATATATATATATATATATATATATATATAGATAGATAGATAGATAGATAGATAAAGAAAAGAATGATATATATATATATATATATATATATATATATAGATAGATAGATAGATAAAGAAAAGAATGGGATAGATAGATAGATAGATAGATAGATAGATAGATAATAGATAAAGAAAAGAACGAGATAGATATAGATAGATAGATAAAAGAAAAGAATGGGATAGTTAAAGAAAAGAATGAGATAGATAGATAAAGAAAAGAATGATATATATATATATATATATATATATAGAGAGAGAGAGAGAGAGATAGGTAGATAGATAGATCGATAAAGAAAAGAATGAGATAGATAGATAGATAGATAGATAGATAAAGAAAAGAATGAGATAGATAGATAGATAGATAGATAGATAGATAAAAAAGAACGAGATAGATAGATAGATAGATAGATAGATAGATAGATAGATAGATAGATAAAAGAACGAGATAGATAGATAGATAGATAGATAGATAGATAGATAGATAGATAAAGAAAAGAACGAGATAGATATAGATAGATAGATAAAGAAAAGAATGGGATAGATAAAGAAAAAGAATGATATATATATATATATATATATATATATATATATATATATAGATAGATAGATAGATAATAAAAAAAAATGAGATAGATAAAAGAACGAGATAGATAGATAGATAGATAGATAGTTATGAGTGTGGACTGAAAAGTTCAAAGGCTGTTTATGAAGGAGTGATGCTAGAGCTGTGAACTTTTGTATGCATTCATTTCAACTCTTCTTATTAATAACTGCATTGTTTCTTTCCAGGTAAACTGACATCTGCCTGTTCAAAGAAAACTTAAAACATAACTGAATTGACTTCAAATTTAGTCTGGCACAACGTCAAAATAATTGAGCACCTTGACTAATTATCAGAATTCATACACCAAGTCTTCGAGACAATCCTTGAAACAAGTCTGGCACAAGGCTATAATAATATAGCACCGACAGATAATCAAAATCATAATACGAGCTAAGTGGTCTGTGTGATAGTTTTTCAAAATCGTCTGGCACATGGCCATGATAATTGAGATTCTATTGATAAGCGGAATCCTAATGAATAGCGTCTCAGATTGAGAAATAGAAGAGCCGTTCGAAATCCAGTCGAATCCATTACATTCACTTACGTGCCTTAGATAAAATATGAAGTCATTTGAAGGAGATCTAACAAAGTTATTAGATTGCGAAATGGTATCAATTTTTTTGAAACACCCTGTATTAATAATATAGTGAGATCATAGATAGTCATGGGAGTATTACATGAAATAACCTTTTGATTAAAGATCTGTAAAAAGCGAAAATACTATTGATACAGCCTAATATGTTATGACAATTATAATAATAAAAGTGAGCCAGAGATAGTCTTTAGATTTTTTCTTGGAATACAATTTGCAGAAAAGCTTTGTAGAAATGTAAGATATTTTTGCTGCATTCTATTAATATTAAAATAGTGATACCTTTGGTAGTATTTTGAGGACTAGATATATTACAATTTCTGTAACGAAGAATATGCATTTGACACTCTCCAATACAATCTGATGTTCTACCTCGGATAAAGTTTTTTTCTTTTTTTCTTTTTTGCTACATCTGACATCGAAATATTCTTGTCATTCATTCTAGCTTACATACATCGTGTGTAATCGGCCGGACAATCGCTCTGAAAGATTTGTGTGGAATATTAAACAAACCTAAACTTTCGGACAATGCTCTCGTGAAACTCCAGAAAAAAAGATTTGAATCGCAAGCCAGTTTCGACAGATGTCAATTGAAAATATCATATATTACTGATTAAAATATATTTTCTTATCACTAATAGCTGGCAGTATATATTTGCATATCTAGAGCTGATAATGACTTTAGGCTTACGACCATATCACGTTGAACCATCGATTCAACATCGATCCTGGTCTATACTTTGAGCAGTGACTGCTCGGGAATAAAAACTTCTGTAAGCTTGGATGTGCGGGTGGTGTAATGGATTGTGGCTACAAATAAGAAATCAAAAAGCCGAGTTCAAATTGCAGTCAGG